GGGATTTCTCCGTGTATTTTGGTTTCCCCTGCCAATCTTTATTCCACTAAATTCTCCATCATCATAATCACCCGGGGCAGGCTACAATAGGCCAATCAGTGGCCGCTGTGCCGAGTGGACCCAGCTGGACTCCATGCCCCACTAAGCGAATTTAAAAAAATGTGGTCTTGTAAGATTTTGTTATAACGGACCAGGATGAGACGGTTTTCTGATATAACGGACAACAATTTAAAACAAGATAGAAACCCAATATAAAACTATTTATATGTCATTATAAGTTTCTATGTACTTTGCGTGTATTGGCTATGTATTCTATGGTGCACTTCCGTGAATTCTCCTTCAATCGGTTATAGCGGACATCTGCAGTAACGCGCATGCTCTCCGTTATGATGAGGGGCTACTGCACGCCCTGAAGTTCTAATCAGGCGATTACGAAGAATTTTTTTAAGTACTATTTAAAGTTCTCACAGTGGTTGTTATGAATGTACCATCTCCTAGGATATAACACCGTGTAGCCAGTTGAAAGTCAACCGAAGTTTGCTACCTGCTTTGAAGGTTGTATTTTGCTAGGCTTATTGTACCCTGAAGATGGAGGCGATATGCTCCTCCGAAATATCGGTTGACTATGAAGGAACTACAGCTTGTTATACGTATCTCATAAGACAGTAACCTTCATCCTTATTTAAGTTTAAATTTCCAAACTCTGATTATTTTGACATTTAAAAAAGATCTTATATCGGACCCAGACTTCATTTAGCTTCATTACTGCTTAATCTGTGAAATCGTAGTTTGTCTCCGTTCCTTTCACATTACGAGAGTGAATTCTATTGCACTCTCGTAACGCACCTCTGTCATGTAGAGAGAATTAATTAAAATTACATCAAAGAAATAAAGAGGAGTTTCAGTTTATTTGTGTTACTACAGCTTTTCAATTCCCCAAGGGTACTTATACAGTCTGATTGCAATGTTTATTTCACAGAAAGGCGTTTTAAGTCTTAGAGTTACACAAGTAGCAATAGATTGGAATATGATTTTTGTGTTCGTATACATTCAGCATACTGATTATTTATTTTGAAGAAATGTTACATTTATTTCAGTCTTCCTATAACAAGCAAAAACATCATTTGTTTGTCTTTAACATAATTTAAAACTCATTTCTCGTCTTTTTGTAACGAGTAACCGCCATAGAAATGTTTCGTGCTTCATTCTTATTAGAAAACACAATCAAAGCCATGGAATTGCAGTACGTTTAAACTAATGTCAATACTGAAACTTATCTGAACACTTATATTTATGTGATTGAATGGTTGGACGAACTCCTCAGAGACAGATCAGCAGAATTGACGCCCACGAGTATGTTTATCTCTGGTCTTTTGTAAGACAGTTTGTGCATATGCTACGAATCTACCAATTTATAACAACTGAAAGGTGTTGTCACCGAAAAGCTGGTACAATTATTGACTTTTGGACATTTTTCATAGCCCTGGTTTTTTATTTAAAACAACTTTTCGGGAACCGAACTCTGCCTCCGTCCTCAGAGGTAGTCCCCGTCTCCAGATGCTGGTATTCATCCCATTAGATATATATATATCACGAAGCTTGTTCATGTGAGATTAATATTCTTACCACCTTGTGGCGACCAGTTCGAACAACTTTTAGAACAGTCCACTTTAGTGCGATTGTAGTGTAATATTGTAGTGTTACTTCGAACCGCTTTATAGACATTTAGGCCGTATGCTCTAAAACACCTAAATAAATTTCGCTAGTCTTTTTGAAAGCCGGTCACGGTAGCCGAGCGGTCTAAGGCATGTACTGTCTTCGTGGGTTCGAATCCCACCCAAGGCATGGATGTTTAGTTTGTGTGTGTGCGTGTTTCTGTGTTTGTCTACATGTAGAGGCCTTGCGACGAGCTGATCACCCGCCCAAGGAGTCCTGCCGAATGTGTAAGATCTATAAAAACCGAAGTGAACGGAGAAGTTCATGGAGGTAGTCCTAGGCCCACTGGGGCTGTAGTGCCGAGGGGGAAAAACATGGAAATTTCATCAGAAGAAGGAGTCGGCCACTCTTCCTGTGAAGTTGAGCAGACCCGTTTGATATAATTTATTTTCACGTTTGCTTTGACTACATATATCACTGTATGAAGCGAATGAGGTCTGCAATTTTATATATTTCTGCAAGAAGTCTAAATTTATTTCCTCATTCTAAAGAAAAGGAGTATTTAGAATCGTTTTAAAACAAATTAAAGTGGATAAAATTTAAATATAAAAGGAAAACGTAGTTACAAAATGTATTAGCGGGTGCTCCAAGCAACTTGATTATTCATCGCCATACTGTACAACAGATTAACTGCGCTGCCAACCTTAGGAACTCATTTTTAAATGCAAGACCTAAGCCTGAATATTAGGTATTTGATTCTGCTTTGAGAATGTGACAATCTGTTACGTTTTTTAAATTAAATATATAAAAATCTTCTAACGTTAGGCTTTAGGGTTTTCTTGTAGAAATAAGTTTGTACGGTTGAGAGCATTAACGCAGCGAATGATACGGCGGTAGTGTTTTACAATATGTTGCGTCACTCGCTAATAACTGAGTTCACCGAATAACTGAAAACCAAATATACAAATTACATTATAATGTATAATGTTATAAGGACTAAAACAAGAAGGATAAAATTATCAGCTCATGTAGCATGCAGTGGGAAGTAAAATATTTCCTGTTGGTATTAGGAAACTTTTCTGAATGCTAACATCTCTGATTACTGTTCGTGAGGCACTGGGTTAAAATATCGGCAACGACATCGACTAAGCTGACAGGAATTTTATGGTTTTCCTCAACCGCTCCAGGAGAATTTTGTGATAGTAAATTAAATTAGGTTCATGGATGTAGGCCTAGGCCCACTGTGGCTGTAGTATCAAGGAAAACAAATTAAATTAGGCCACGACCGCCTCCTTCCGTATCTTTTCCAATTCAACAATTATCGTATCATCCGACGCTCTATAGTGTGATCTACTTACAGTGTCGTTAAATAAACAACAGTGGGCCTACAGTCTTCATTTCTTTGAGAACTGAGGTTCCTGCAGACAAAAGTGGACAGAGTCCTGCACGGTAGCCATCGCAATTCGTTCTGATTTACCTTACGCGAGGGAACAAAGTATACTGCTAGACATTGAAAACATCTGGGGCACTAAGCTACATGACGGAAGGTCGCGGGCTCGAGTCCCGATGAGGTGGATTTTCCAATTGACCAAATCTTTCCAGCCACACAATGGCCCTGGGGTCGACTCGGCCTCTAATAGAAATGGATACCAGGAATATTCCTGGAGGGTAAAGCGCGGTCAGTGCATAAGGCTGACAACCTCACCGCCATCTGTGAGCCGATTGTCTAGATAATGTGGGAACCTCAACGTCTCAAGACCCTATGGGCCTCCACAGCCTGTTACAGGGATAGCTTTACCTTGCAAACATTGGGCTGAAGTGGGAACAGTCTTATAACCTATCCTTGAAAAGTAGAAGGCTCTTGTTACGTGATATTTAGGTTGCGCTATAGCTCAAGCGGTTAGTCGCTCGCTTCCCACCGCGGCGGCCCGGGTTCCATATCTGGTCTGGTCAAGTGGGATTTGTGGTGGACAAAGTTGCGCTGGGGCAGGTCTTCTCCGAGTACTTCGGTTTCCCCTGCCAATATTCATTCCACCAAATTCTCCATCATCATAATCATCCGGGACAGGTACAATAGGCCAATCAGTGGCCGCCGTGCCGAGTGGACCCAGCTAGACTTCACCCCCACTAGCGAATTATATGATATTTTGTTATCAGTGATTTCTACAGGAATATCAAGGTGGATTTACATGGCGTGGTGTGCCACTTTAATTAAATTATTTTTGTAGAATGAGAGATCAGAAATGCTTGCAAAATTTTATTCGGAAGCCTTAGGGTAAGAAATCACATGGTAGATTTAGGTAAAAATTTTGATATTATTTTTATTAGAAAGGAATTTCAGGCAGAACACTTATACCAAGTTTCGTGAAAAATAGCGAAATATTTAAAAAGTTGGATTTGGGGGCATAGAGCCAGACATGAACACATAAACAGTATGATCACATAAGTTAATATCTTTTCTTAAGAAAGGATATTAAAGAAATAGGGTGTGATTATGTAGACTGGATTCATCCGGCTAAGAATACAGTCTAGTGGCGGATTCTGATATACATGTGAATGAAACTTTGGCTGTTATAAAAGAAATCTGTTCTACGAATTTAGTTAATTTCCGTTAACACTTATTAATTATAAATAATTATATCCGCTGTAAAACTCAACTGAAATATAACAATCCCGGAACTGTGCAGAAGATGCGTTGCGATGGGGAGTTAAATCCTAAAATTGAATCAGTAATTAAATGTTCGTGCGCTTTTAGTGCACTGAAATGAAATCATCTTGCTTTTATGGTTTTTGGTGCTGGTATGTTGTTCTCATTTGTTTATGAACATTACAAAATCGAACCACCCAGTTGGTTGGCGTGCTGCATTCAAGTAAAGTGGGAACAATCACATTAACTTCCATTAGGACCAATCACATAACTAATGTGTACTAGTAACTACAGTTATGAACCGAAAAGAGAGCTTCTTATTAACTTACATACTAAATTAAGTGACCCAATTTTGATTATAATCGGCAAATTGATCATAATTTAATAATTAAATAAATGAATAAAGACA